ACTATTTGAAGTTAGGCTCTAATTTGATTGTTTAGAGCCTAGGCTCTATACAAACTGCACCCATATATATATATATATATATATATGGGTGCGGACACGGTTTCTATAGAAATGCGGGCTTAGCAAATAATATATTTTTTAAATATAATTTGATCGTAATTTTTGGAGAATATATAATCTTTGACATGGAGATCATGAATATTTTCTGTTTAATCTTGTTCCTCTATATTCTAAGAGGCATAACCATCCTATTATGTTAACATTTTAAAAAGCTCATAAATCCACTTATTGTGGAAATGAAGTGGAGATGCCACAGTCTCCAATAAATGAAAATTGATGGAAAACCATTCTTTTCCAACGTGTATATCTATTAGTAAAATACGAAAGGCTTTATGAAAGCAACAATAATTTCCCTTGAATGACCAAAATATAGAACAACTGAACAACTTGGGTAGTACATGAAATGATGTGTCTAGAGAAAAACTAAACATGAAACAATAGCTAAGCTTTTACTTTAGAGGTAAGATCACCAATACTTTTTGTCAAACTTGCCAAAGATTCAGCATCTTCCCGCCCTCTGAAAGAAAATTCAAATCATCTCTGCTCTGTGTTTGTTAAAGTGTATATGAGATTTAACTCATTTTGAAAGTACAAGGACTTCCTTGGGGAAGGATGACATCGCTTCGCTGATGCTTCTACAGGATTCACACGATTTATTTTGTCCCTCACGATTCATACGTTGTCGCTCAAGATTCATACTTTGTCCCTCACGCAATTGATTGATTGAACGGTGTGATTTGAGTTATCAGGGTCAACTTTACATAGTAGGAAATCAACTTTACATAGTAGGTCTTGAAGACATCAGTATTTTCTTCTTCCAGTTTGTTTCTTCCATATTGTATCCAAAAAATAATAATAATAATAATAAATAAATAGAAGCAAGTATAGTAGGCCAATTTTATAACATACTACATACAATAATAATAATAATAATAATAATAATAAATAAATAGAAGCAAGTATAGTAGGCCAATTTTATAACATACTACATACAATAAAAGGTAATAATAATAATAAATACATAAAAGCAGGTATAGTGGGCCAATTTTATAACAATTTACATTAATCAAGCATCTATAATTAGAAAAGTCAAGAGGTCAATCAAGAACAAAATATCATGAAGATCTTCAAGACACCATCACTGCGTCAAAGGAGGTGATAACAGGTGAAAGAAAATATATTGAGAAAAAAAACTTCGACTTTTAGTATGATTAAAACTAATACCATACTATAATGGCTAGGAGCTTGAAATTGTCAAAAATGAAAATGCAAAATAAGAACTAAAAGACTAGAAGAAATGCACTTAATAATACTCATATCTTATCATTCCTCATCAGTTGGTCATAAAAATTAAGTATCCAATACAGGAAACAACATATAATTCATATTATAGTATTTAAAAGCAAAGGACACCTGAATAAACACCTTTTTTTTTCTTTTTTTTTTTTTGAATAAAACACTTGAATAAACATAGTTCAATACCAAAATGAAAGGAGCTAAGAAAACCAAGATGGTGACGCACAACAACAATGCACATAAAAAAAGGAGGGTTCAACTGTGAAAGAGAGCAAAGTAAATGGATTCTTTTGTAAATACCTAGATTTGTGATTGAAGGCTTTATTTTCTTCATGTCAAAGAGGATCTTTTTGACCTTCTTCATGTCAAAGAAGATCTTTTTGACCTCTTCTCTATTCATATACTTTGTAGACAACACTCAATTAGATTAGAAACCTGCAGTAGTCATGTCCAAACAATAAGAAATAATTCACAATTCTCTGAATATCAAAGGGACCTAAAAATTAAAACTTGCGGAAATCGAGAGCACTTCTTACCTGATCAATGCATTGTAGGGCTGCAACTTTCAACAAAAGGTGCATTCAACTCTCAACAAAAACTGCATTCAACTCAATTAAAGAGATTATTCACAACAAAAGATGTATTTAAAAGATCAACACTAAATAAGACTTTTAACCCTGTAAACTAAGAGATGACTTTCATCGGTTTATTCTAATAAATTAATTGAATACAGATCGTCAAGGAAAACTCACAAGTCAACAAGCTACTAGATAAAAAAGAATTCAAAACTGAAATGCACTATTGACTCATAAATAAAGGCATACACACAATCTAAACATCCCACAAAAATTTTGTCAATCTTAACCGTATCTTTGATATTTCAGGACAACATGACATTTATAGTAATCATGGTCATTGAAAGACCAAAACCTGTTTGATTGTCCAAAATATTTTTCTTTTTAAGAAATTGATTGACCAAAATCTTCTCACCCAAGATTCAGATGACCTCCCATTATCTAAAGCCCCATAAATGACAATGACCATGTTAGGAAACCACTCCTTCCCCATGGGATCAACTAGATCCAATTTAATCCGAAAATTGATTTGAAGGTTTTGATTTAAGGTATCTGAGGAAGGTTTAACAAAGATGGGAGGAATCGATTCTTAGTGAGAGAATGCACTTCAAAATTTTGGGTAAAATTTATACTAATAATTTAAATTCATAAATTTATTATTTTCTCTATGTTGTATAGACTAATTGTTTTTTTATGATTTTTCTGATTTTTTACCATTTTCTCCCGAATTTGTAGGAATTTATAATGGTCTTGACCTACTCAGGGCAAACTCAGGCGAGTCAACTTGGACTCATCTGCGTAGATAGGTCCAAGCTAGGGGCCGAGATCCATACTTAAGCAGAGCTTTTTCAAACATTGTGAAATTTCTTTATTTTTTTCTAGAACGTACTTACTTTCAAATACTTGAAAAACTGTAAAAAAATGATTCTTTTTTTTAATTTTAAATAGTATGGAAACACGAAAGAAAAATTTACTATTTAAAAACTTTTAAAAAACAAATTTGACCCCCTTATTATTTCATAATTATTCTAACATGATTCCATTGGGTGTTTCTCCTAGCTGTGAAATATAACCTTTCACTATATTTCCATTGATAAATAATTCCGTAAGTTGTTGGACTCTGTAACTTGATTAGTTTAAGAATCGAGCAAGAAAAAATGCTTAAAAATCAGCACAAGACATCGCAATTAGAAGAGAAGCAATTTTAGTAAGTGCAAAAGACACTGCAATTAGAAGAGAAGACTTTAAAGAGAGAAAGACAGGTAAAACTAGAGAGAAAAAGAGATAGAGGCTTGGAAAGCTATTGTGCGCCTTTGAACCAGTAACTTTGTAGATACTATTGTGAGCCTCCAAACCAGTAACTATTGTGAGCTATTGTGATACATCTGTAGAAAGATAGAGAGAGAGAGGAGCTCATTGCTTCAAGAGAGAAAAACCAGTGTAATAGAGAGAAGGGCTTGCTGGTACACTAGAGAGAGAAGCTCATTCTTTCAGACCTAAAGAACTTTTTTTTTTAGATAGAGAGAGAAACCAATATAACAGAGAGAGGACCTTGCCGCAACAAAATTTGGCAAGTTTATACAAACCTAGCTTGCAAATTTAGAGAGAGAGACTCAGAGAGATCACGTTGCCTGCAACTTAGATAGAGAACTTAGAGAGAGAAAGACAGCAGAGGGCCTGTAATTTAGAGAGAAAAATAATTTCTTTAAGGGAGAAAGACCGCAGAAGTCTTGGAATGTCGGTGTTTCTTTTAGCGATAATGATAATTTCTTTAGAGAGAGAAGGATTAGAAGAAGATGGCAACCAGTTTTAACCGGTGGCAGAAGGGTATCTCTTTTCGGCAGCAGAGATAGTTTAAAAATCGGGTGATGTAATGGATGAGAGAGAACTGATATATGGTAGAAATACGAGAGGAATTAAAGAGATACGGATGAGAGAGATCAGAGACCTGAGAGAAGGGATATATGGGAGAAATACAAGAGGGATTAGAGAGATAAGGATGAGAGATAGCTGAGATCTGAAAGAGAGAAATTAGAGAGGTCAGAGAGATTTTGGGGGCAGATAGATGTGAGAGAGATCAGAGGAAGACAAAGAGATAGAATAGAGAGATAGTGAGAGAATTTAGAGATAGAGACAGAAAAGTACCAGTTTTAGAATGACCAGAGAATGAGCAGATCACCAATGGCAGCGACTTCTAGGCCAAGGTGTTTACACAGAGAAGCAGATCAAAAGAGAGACCAGAGAAATTGAGAACGACTTCTGAGCTAAGGTGCTTACACAGAGAAGCAAATCAAAGAGAAATTGAGAGCACATACCTTTGCTCTTATTCAACCTTTTACTATATTTCCATTGATAAATAAGATTACAATACAATTGTATATTTATAGAGAGGGTACAACCAATACTTACTAAAAACTATAGGATACAGTTTTTATATAGGTATATCATATACGGTAAAGGTTTCTGTACTTCCTCAACAGCATAGAAGAACTATCCTCCCCCTACCATCCAGCCGTTCAATTTTGATCTAAGAAAGCCACTCAC